TGTTAAGGGTGCAGACTCCCACTGCTCTGCACTATGTCTCCTTGCTTCCTCTCTGACTCTTACTTGACGTGCTACTCAGAGTATTCAGGGATAATTAGTGATTAGCTCTAGGACCGCATGTTGTTGACCGGTTGGATACAAGATAATCTCGTGTTCATTGCCCTCTATAGCCTCTAGAACCAGAGTAGAAGTAACTGAGCAGGGAGTACACTGTATCAGGGCCTGCAACTCAATGCACTGTAAACTCCTCTATGCCAATCAGCCTGTAGAGCAGCAGACGGTTGCATGCTGTCACATATGGCGGACAGATAGTGTTCATTACAGTGATGCAGGGAAGCAGCGGCTCATTGATGAAAGGTTAATGCAACCCTATTTATCATCTTGAGATAAACCAAACTTCTGTTGCTAGGCAAACTTTGCATGCAGCTTATACCATGGATGGAAAAACCCATTTAGGATCTAATCCTTCAAGATGACATTACCATGCGCCGACTTTAAGTAGCTTATATAAACGCCATACCACAGCAGTGGTTTGGATTCAAAGCATTTTAGGAGGAATGTTGACAAGCTTCTCGAGGATCCCTCCGAGACCGTTGTCACTGCAACCACTCAACAATTTTCTTAACAAACCTGAAGCCATATTTATCTCTGAGGGGCTAAAGTAAACAAAAATGGTAAAATATGTAGGTTTGAATAAATTAGCACTACATTTTGCCCTAGATAATAATGAGGGCTGAAGATAAAATGTAAAAAAAGTGATTGGAAGAAAAGTACAAAGACAGGAAACACATTTTTAAAGACTTTCCAGGTAGAAGTCTCTTTGGTATGATGTGGCTGTGAAAGTTTACCACAGCTCTTTGTCAAAAGGAGACAGAAACACCTCTCTGTGTGAAAGGAAGTTGTACACAAACAACAAGTGGAAAGTAAGACAGGTGACAGCCACACAGACCACCACAGTTTAGCGGCATAGAATAAGATAGAATTGATCTTGTAAAGGAAAGTTTGTATGTAGGCCGTAAGAAACCCCCACCCCAAAACTTATAATCACTACAGTAATGCGTAAACACTTTCTATACAGGTGCAAGGAAGCTTTCCTGCAGGGAAAGAAGGATGTTGGTTGCAGCCATATAATCTGTGGTGCTAGCACTGCCAATTAACCACACTCAGCAAACTAATCCCTTACTGTGTCTGTGATTATACATGCAATATTTAACCATATATGTTCAACTGAACTCCATTTTGACTATTTGTAACTTTTAGACTTGTAGATTTGTTCCGACTTTCTTCCCTCCCATTTACCCAATTAGGAAATTAGTCACCAGGAACTTCCCTACCCAAAGCTTAGACTGAGAACAAATTTGTGCTTATAACTGTATGAATCACAGACTGTGATGTTTGTTAGCAGATTAAATCACGGAGACCACAGATTGCTAGCTAACAAACTGCTTTTCCTAATAGTGTTTTCATTATGTTTTCAGTGATGACTGTGGCCAATAGGGCATATACAAATGTTCTCTCACTATTCAGACAGACAAAGACATTTGAACTGCAAAGATAATGAGCACTGTGAATGATATAAATAATTTTAACCTACAAATTTATTCCTGAATGTGCCATATTAGTTGTCTAGCTCCAGAAATGATTGAAGTGGAAGTTTGATTCATTATCCTAAAATAACTACATCATTTTTTTTATCCATTTCATACTTCCACTCAACCCTTGTGTGTACTATACTGCAGGCAACGCATGCTTTACATTACGATGACGTAATCAGAGGCTGTTTAAAACGTCTGACACCTAAACAGACAGCTGTGTGAAGTCAGTAAGACACACAACATCAGCTCTAGAGGCTTCTGTGTGACTGTCCTGGACACTGTATTTATGCAGTTGGGGGTCCTGTGGGAAGAGCCAAAATTAGAAGTGAATAATGAAAGGTCATGGAGCAGTGGGAATAGAGATCCTGTTGACGCAATCTGTCCAATCATATTTATTTCCTTTGGCCAGCGACCAGTGGCTACATCTAGACTGGAAAACAAACCAAGACAACAGCATCCAATAAAATACCTGATGATGCTCCACTCCGCGGTGGCAACGTGATTCAAACTGACCTCTTCAGAACACTAAGGTACTTTCTTTTAAGTAGAACATGTAGCCTACCACTTACCAATGGAGGCTTAGCAAAAAAAAAAAAAAAATCTATTAACAATGACAGAAAACATATTATAATCAGAAAGAGACCAAAAAGCTCTCTGAAGAGTCACAACAGACCAGCCTTTAGTGTGTTTTACAGTTGTTGTTAAAAGAGTAGAGACACATGTCTGCTGCAGTGTACACAGTAAAAGTAGGAAGGCAGAGCCTCTCGAGGAGTTGTTTTTCATAGGCCTGTGTGGTATGCGTGAGCGTCCCGGCCCAGTCAGACCCACCTCATTGCTGGCTGGTTGGCATTCCTGCCTAACTCTGTAATTATGACTCCTCTCCAGGCCTCTATGCTACACTCTCCCTGAACCACTGTACTGAACATGGCGCGAGACCTGCCCTCTTCAAAGGTATGTGCTCGTCACCTCGCCATTTAGTTCAGACCTTAACAATAACTCATCACTGGGTGGAAATATGCTTTGACAACAGTGACGGGTAACAGCTGTGCTGAGATAAAAACACCATCACTTACAGATTAGGATCATTAATTGTGCCGATATTTTTCAAACTGGTGCTGAGCTTAAAATGATATGATAGTGAATTAAACAATACGTAAAAACATATTTCTTCTGCTTTAAATCCTGACTATTTGTTAACACTTGCAAGTGTGAACGTGTCCAAGTCTTAATGTATCATCATTCTGCTGAAAATGAGACAGCAGTGGTTGCAGAGGAAGCTTTACTGTGTGTGCTAACACATCTGCCTGCCACTGCTGTGAGAACTATGTGTTAAAAGTAAGGTTTTATTGTTAAAGAATTGAAAGGCGTGCTCTTTATGTTATGAACATTTCCTAAAAACCAAGCCTAAACTCCCCATCAAAACACTCTCTGCAAACCTTTCTGCAGAGGTTAAATAGCCTGAAAAAGATTAGAATTGGAAAGGTGTTAAAGTATTAAATAAAGCACTTTTTTTAAATTAAATAATCTTGCTATGTTCACTTGATGGTCTATGATCCATATGATCCAGCTTAGAAGAAGCTGGAAGCTGAACTGCTGAACCATTTTTTCATTAATTATTTCACAAAGTGATGGATCCTTGCCATCTTTACTTCTCTACTTTGTTTTTGCTTGTTGTAAATTACTTGTGTCATTAGTTTTGATCTATTAAACCAAGTGTTTTGATTATTATGTATGTATATGTGTCAATAAAAGAAACTAAAGAATCTGTTGTTTCTATTATTGCCAATTTAAGGTATAGTGTGTATTCTGCTTTTATTCATTTTCTACACAGATGATCTTTACTGGTGTGCAGGGAGCTAAAGTGAACTATGAAACTGAAGCTCAAGACATTGGCCACAGAACCTGTTTAAAATTAATTAATGTGCAGTAAATAACCAAACACAGTGGAAGAACAACAAAGACTTATGAAACACAACTTGGTGTGTTTCTCAACATTGTTATTGCTGAAGTAAACTGAATGAATAATCCAAAAATGTAACAAAATATGAAAGGAAATTCAGACAATATACACCATTCATGGAGCTGGGGGCACATGACAAGCCTGCAGCAGAAGGATTAGGACGATCAGCTGAGTACGACTCAATAACACATTGTTCCTCGCTGCTCACCGCTTGTTTTTCCTCCAGCTCTCCTAGCAGCTTATCAGAGGAAGGCAGGACCAAATCTCTCCCCCCCTGTGCCTACCAAACTTCAATCACTCACAGTCCACTTCCCACTATAAACCGATTACAAGCATCGACACTGTGGTGCGAAAATGTTAAAGCCTTTTGTGATACTCTGAGCTCTGTTTGAAATCATAGAGCTCTTGACAATGTGCTTTTTTTAAAAAACAAAAACAAAAAAAACAAAAAAAACCCATGTTAAAATAAACACAATGACTGGCAATCAAGAACATCAGCTTTGGCCATGAGATTACAAAGCACACTGCTGGCTTTGTCCACAGGTCACATCTGTATTGGAGTGACACACAGCACGCTGCTGTGCAAATGTATCAGGAAGGGTGTGTACCAGCCTGAACTCATCCTACATTCAGGCTCTCATTGTTTCTGCTGCACACTGGTAACAAACATTGCCTGCTATTCAGACACATCTCATGCACTCTATCAAAGGTTGATGTTTCAATCTGGATAACAAATTACAGGCCCAGTCAAAACATAGAGACAGACTGATTGGGATTTTTGCCTGTGGTTTACATGTAAAGGGAAAGATTAATCATGCATAACTGTAAGTCAATGAAACCTTTTTTTTAATGAATACACTGAAAAACTTATTTTCAATTCTGAATGGTGTGTGTGTGTATATCTATCTATCTATCTATCTATCTATCTATCTATCTATCTATCTATATATATATATATATATATATATCAAGAACCTTACTAGTCAAATTTACAAATTGTAAGGCCTCAGATTTAGTTGCTCTCTAATCTCTAAACAGCTACTGTGAATTCACACTTTTGCACAGAAAGCACTCTGAATTCACCTTAAACCTAGCCACATCAGGAGCATCCTGGATTTGAGAGAGGAGCGCAAACACAGCAGACCGACACATTTCACCCATTTCTGGCCTCTTTACCACTTAAACCACTGCAATGGAGATTAAACAGCTCCAAGATGTGCTCACCTGGCACTCACATGAACAGGCCTGCGCTGGGAACAAAGGGAGATGGTGTGCAGCAGAAGTGCACATGCATAATATGTTGACTTAAGCTATGTAAACATTAGACCTGATGGCGATGAACAAACACGCAAGGTTTCATTTCCTCGGGAAATCAATGTGTTGCTCAAAAAGAGCAAAACGTTTCTTCCTTTGATGACACCCTAAGAATTTTTAATATGGCTCACCTATATAGAGTGAGGAGTCTTTCTTCTTTACGTGATCATCGATATAGGAGACCCCCAGGGGCTGCACTGGCGTGGCTCCAATCCCCAGCAGGACCTGGGCTCCGATCAGCAGCAGGTACATCATGTTGGTGTTGGCCTTGTTGTCACATACATTTTTCTCCGCTTGCTGAGCCTCTGAACTGCTACTATTGGAGCAAAAATCCCGACCCTCATTAGTCCTCCACACTTCCCCTATCTCATACTGATTTGTTAGAAACTCGGGTAAAGCTGAGAGCAGAGCGCCGAGTGCCATGACGATGCCACCGCAGCCGATCAGACGGGGCCGGTGTGCTTTAGCCCCAAAATAGCTGACAAACAGGATAAGTGCCAGATTGCCTATCTCAAAGCTGCTGGCTATCACTCCGACGTCAGCACTCTGTAGGTTGAACCGCCGCTCCAGGGTGGTCAGCACACTCACCTAAAAACAAGAGGACAAAAAAAAGGAACAAATAAGTAAAATGTGGGACCATGCGAATAATGTGGAATGAAGAAAAAAAAAATGTCGAATACATATCTGGATTTTAAAACAAGAGCCATTGAGGAAGCATGATTATTCAAACATAAAAACACACATTAACTATTAGTGGATCTAAATAGGGCCTGTGCTTGATTCTTTCAAGCACTGCTATAAATCACGTGTTTCCATCATCATCAGTCACATTGCTTTAAAGTGTGCCTTTCTACTGGAACATCCTGAATAACGAGCTGTTCAGATGTTCCACGCCGTGGCTCCTCCCAGGCAACAGGCCTCTGTTTCTGATTAGCTGGGCACAGCAACATTTACTTTCATTGCTTCTCTTGTTCACCAGCTGTCATCCAGAGCAAGAGTTAAAGCTTACCAGTAACTTCTAAACAAAGCAAACACAACAGAAAGGTTGTATAGGATAGTTTTTTGGCAACCCTGTTTGTCAGATACGATTCAGAGGTCAGGGAATAAATACTGTGAGGCCACATTTATAGTCAGGATATACAGAGACGGACAAATAACACTTTAAATTTAGTTAGACATGTGCATGCCATGATTTCTCAGTAAAGACGGATCTGTGGGAACAGTCTCTCTGAGCAATGTGAACCACAGTGGCACATTTTAGAGAGTATATTTATATATTTGGCTCAAACTGTCCTTTAAAGGGCACAACTACTTCCCTTTTCCCAACTGCCACTATGAAGGAGTTTTGATTGAGCTACTAAAAAAAAGAAAGAAAAGATCCTACTAACACAAACATCCCCTGAAAAGAGGGCCCCACCAGTCAACTTGTGGTTTCTGCTGCTGGAGCATTTTACACATTTCTTTTCCAATTATGGTGATTTAATGTACACAGTTGATTTAGGTTTATAAGCAGTTTTAATGATCTTTGTGGCTCCAAGAGGCTCTGTGCTTAAGCTTAAATGTGGAAAACTGCTCTTTTCGTCCGTCATGCAAACACACTTGAATGTTTCCTTACCTTGATGCTGTACATTTTAAGTGTTTGGTTTGCAGGAGGAATCACAGTGAAGCATCAGCTTTATATTTTTAAACAGTAGAACATAGAATATATTTTCAGCTTTTCTTGTATTTAGTACCTTCACTTCCTCCACAGCTGTCCTTTCAGTGACAGCTCAACACACTGTGTTCTCCTGAAATTGAACTGCAATCTGTATCTGTGGGTTTACTGGGTGCATTATCTTTACTTTATTTACCTGTGCACAATACTTACTACACAACAGGTGCGTAGACTGTCACTTCCAACAAAAAAAAAACAATGCTATACAGTCTGTTTTGCCATTTGGGTTTAAAATAAGCTGTCTTCTGTGACTTTTAGAAGTTAGATGTGACAGCAGGTCATTTTTGCACTTCTCTGAACACAACTGCAGTGACTCTTTCACTACTTATCAAAGTGCGGAGAAGATGATTGTTGGGAGCGGCTCATGCCGGAGTCCTTCAGTGAAGTTTGTTGGATTGAAAACTTCAGAATGAGTCATGACGTTTCTGCCCCTTGGGTGGCTCTTTCTCGGGAATGCAAACACACTAGATGGGCTGCATTTATGCCTGGCTGGCTCTGCCCAGCTGGGATCTAAGCTCAATCCTGTTTTACCCAGCTGTTAGAAACAATAGTGAGCCCCAACAACCTGTTAACATAACAGCTGCAGCTCTACGCAGACATTAACATTGAAACAGAGGGAATAAAGCCACCACATCATCTCATCCCATTATCGAGAGCCTGCAGTCAGCACCTGTGACTGACAGTTTGAGCAGTGGAAACCCTCTGGATGAGTCATACTCTGGTCTGCAGGTTCAACACGTTTCTGACTTCAACAACCAGCTTTCCATCACGGTTTTTTCACTTACAAGCATAAAATACACAGGAAAAACTGAGAGGAATGCTTAATGGTCAGTGGTCAAAGCCACATTTTCTCCGCATCACAACTCAGACTGTGGAAATGTTTAATCTGTCTCACAGCAACAAAACAAACCTCGTCATGCTGACAACCCATCAAATATGAGAAGAGCAAACCTTATGTGAGCATGAGAAGACAATTTTTCTCAGGATGTACTGACCAGGCATTTAATTATCAACATGCAGAAGAAAGCTGCTCACTGCTGACAGTCACTTCTGCACATTGAGGTTCAGCATTGATGTAAATGTGCAGAAATGGTGCTATTTGTGATGGGAGAGCAACTGTTTATAACCAAGCTTCTGCTATTAGAATGGAATCCACTCTGTTTTATGAGGTGTGGCTTACAGCAGGTTGAAGGTTATCTAAAGGTATTCGAACAGGGCTGCATAGGTTATTTTTAAAGAGCTCTGATAGTGGCATCCAAAAGAAGCTGCCTCCACAGTTTAGGACATGGGCAAAGAGATGAACTTTTAGTTAGTACTTTCTCTTTTTAAATAACTCGTATAGCATAGTTTGAACACTTCTTTAGAAATGTACTGCAGTTTTCAAAACAACATTTTACACTTTCACAGAATCTGATATTTGACAGGTGTGTTAATGGTTATACTCGTGTTCCAATCAACAAAAATGGCTGAAGTAAACCAAAAAATGTCTGGTAAGTTACTAAACAAATCAGATCCCACCTAAAACCTTATGTTAAAACATTATAGGTATTATATAATACATTATATAAGTACTGAGATTTCAAAAGGACAGCCATGTTTGGGCTTCCTCCGTGTTTGAACACACTTGGTGTGACAGGCCTGCAGCGCCAAGACAAACACTGTTGAGGTTCAGTTGTTGCACTTTGTAGCTCAAAGCTTTCAAGTGTCAGATTTGGTGGTTTTGTGAGAAGTGATAACATAAGCAATAGATTTTGAACTCTTGGGCCCTGCATACAAAAACTGACCAATGCTTTCTATTTATAGATTTACATATAACAACACCCTAAATTTAAAATTTTAATCAGGCATCACTATTTAATGGATGTTTGAATATATTCATCATGCATGTGATCTATTGATATCAAAAGGCAGCAACAAAATACCTTTTTAACCACGGCAAAATAGAGCAGCTTAAATGGCCATACTTCAGATGAGTTGCTGTTTGTTTACCTATTGAAAGCCCATATCCTGAGTGCACATACATTATGTTAAAAAGCTTTGGCATGATTGTAAGCCAGGACTTTAGTTTCCTGTAATACTGTGATTCAAACTCTATGTCCACCAAACTGAAATGATTAGTCAATTAATCCAGTGAATCAAAAAAATTGAATTCATTTTTCAGCTATTTTAGCAATTAATAAATCAGTTCTGTCATTTTACCAAGCAGAAGGAATGGAAATATTCTGGTTTTAGCCTTTTATATGTCTTTATAATATCTCATCATAAACTGAATATCTTTGGGTCTGTACTATTAGTCTAGTATTGTAACATACCTAGTAATGACAGGGAAAAAAAAGAAAAAAGTTATAGCCCTAATGTGCATTAGACCATTGAACTCGACTGCCTAGAACAATCTTTCATTATTTGCTTCAGACTCAAAGCCGTTAATTCCCTCTGTTCACTTGCACAACTAAAAAGAACAGGCCTAATAAATCACGGACTGCAGACGTACATGTGTGCTCTCATGTGTTTGTGCAGGTTAACCGTTCCCCTGTAGTCAAGCTGCTAAATCAGGAGGCACAGCGTGCTGTTACTGTAAGTGTCTTGTGCTGTAAGCAGCTCACAGAAATCAGAGGGGGTCGTGATAGTTAAATTTTGCCCCTTTGCTGCCAGTAAACACTCCTAAGCACCTTCATCCAATCAGACACCGCATTAGCTCATACAGGTCGACACCAGCTCATTAGACTGTCACTAAGCCAGGTACCTCAGTCCTGGCTGAGTAAATGATATTCCATGTAAATCAGCTCGGTGGGTTTTACAAACAAAAACAGGCCCAAAAGCTTGGCACTAAGTGAATGATTCCAAACCTCACCTGCAGGTCTATCTTTCCTTTCCTGTTTAAACAGGTGTCCAGTGCCAATAAACTACAAAAAAACTGCAAATGCCTGTTTAATCTGAAATAAACAGTGAAGAAAAAGACCCCCCTCCTCCCCGTAAGCGACTCCCGAGTGGCACCACTGTGCTCTGTTGTTGCTGGGCCACAGGATGCTTGATGCTCAGCAGGTTCAGTAAGAGTTAAGATAAGATGTTCCACTCCAAATATGGACAAGATATTTAGGGTTTTACTCTAATAATTGAACAAGCAAGCTGAGAAATCAGTGTGATTCTTGGAGAATAAACACTGCTAATATTGAAACTAAATGTTCAGAGTGGTTCGCCCAAGGTTGTGAAAGATCCTCTGGGGACCCTTTGAGGAAAAATTTGAAGCACTTCAGGGAGGTTTGTTTAACAAAATCTATATTAGGCATTCCTGTGTTCAAATTTTACTGTAACACTCCATCATCATCATCGCCAAGACACATTTCAAAGATTCATCAGAAGAAAGCAGGTGTTAATTATGTTATTTCTCATACTAACAGTTTATTTGTATGAGTAATAGTAAATGTGAAAGCTTAAGTAATGGAGGGGAAATTTTTGACCTTGAATGTCATTTGGGGTCAAAGCAGCCAAATTCTGACATCCTAAATATGTTTAGGCTATTATTACTAAAGCTAACCAGAGTTTTAAAGTCACCCTCTGGTAAATGGATGGTAAATGATGATTTAGTTTGAGTTGTGACACATTAGAGATAAATTAGACATGAGTGAAAAGTAGCCATAGAGGTTTTCCTCACAATAAAAACACAAGCAAAAGAGTGGTAAAGGGCATACTATCCTAAAGGGCAGACTTTACTGAGAAGAAGGCAGGTTTCTGTCCTGACACTGTTCTGCTGCATTAGTCAAAAGCATGCAGAGCAGGAAAAGCCCCAAATGCAATAGCCTAGTCCCAGTAAACACAGATCTGAGCAGCCCCCACTGCAGTGGGGTCTCAGTTCACACTGCAGGCACTCCGAGTCCTGCGTGAGCTCGGGTTGTGTTGTACTCACCAGGTATGCTCCGACGGTGCCCTGTGCCAACATCAGGGCGCATTCCGATATTAAGAATATCTTGATATTTGAGAAGCACGAGGAGTTTTTGCGGGGACCGTCTGCTTCCAGCATGTCCCCGCCGCTCCGGTCCGGGTCCCTTTGCTTCTTCACCTGCATCCTCTCCTACGTTAGCCTCACAGAACTACGAGAAATCGAAACACACAGCAGGGTGACCAAAGGCACACACTGGCAGGTACAGTGTTTCGCTTTTTGCTTCCCCTGGAGGCTACATTCGGGGTGCTCCTTGGCGCCGTTCCTCTCGATTCAACAAACTGTACTCTTTCATCTGACAAGCTACCAAACACACATCCAAACTCCGCGGGGCTCCGTCGCTCGTCTGCGTCTAAACATTGCCTCCTTGTCGACGCGCAGAAACATGTGAACTCCCTGAAGGTGTTAGCAAAGGCACAAGTGAGACGCGGACACGTAGATTCCTGTCAGATCGCATGTTTCCGCCGCGGACTTTAGTGGTTTTTCGCGGCGGCTCTGGATTTTGCTCACCAGGTTCTTATTTTTCTGCTAAACTCCGGCCGTGCCGGTCTGTCATTATCCCTAACTCACACAGAGCTTGCCCTGCCTCCGCGCTCCCACCTCCCACCTCCCTGTACTACTCTCCTCCTCTGCGAGCACAAGTGCGGCCCTAGAGGCGCTGCAGAGAAGCGTCGACTCCGCTCAACTTACATCTACTACAGTAGTCCTGTGGGGCCTCGTGTTTGTACTGTCCACACGTGTTTAAGAAACACTTAACTATAACAAATTGCCATCTTCTCACACCATAAACTCTTATGTGGTTTTTGCTGGTTTGAGGCTAGCTGCTAAACCGATTCGTTTGTCAACTACAGTTTTAAGTAATTTACCTAAGAAAAATGCAAATGAAGTGAAGAATACAATATGGTTGACACGCCATACTTTATACTAGTACTATTAAAATATAGAAATAGAATATAAAGACAAAAAACGGACCAGGACTTTAACAGGCTTCAGAGTTAAGCATTTTAGCTACCGCCATCTTGTGCCCTTTTTCTAAACCAGCAGTTGTAGAAGCTGTAAGCTAACTTAGCTGGCTAGCTAAACTGAGTAGCAAGAATCTCTAATTTACTTCAGTAATACAGTTCTAACTTTCGATCATGTAAAACAGGCTACAAATTATATACATGTTGGACAAACCTGGCAGCCAACTTCTTAGACTGTCTTTTAGTATAAGAGAAGACAGAAATGAAACCCACCTGTCTCTAACCTACACTTGTAATAGGTCAGTTATTTTAAAACAAATATCCTTACAGTTGCCACAAACAAATAATTAGCTAAAGTGAGCAGACAGTAGGAAGGGATTACCAAAGTGCTAGCAGGGGCTCCATAGTGGGCCACAAAGGTACTGCAGGTGGTCCAAAGTAATAATAATGTACAGTTACATATTTATATAAATACATTTATTTATATAAAAAAAGATAAAACTGGCAATATAAGGGGGTTAGCTTGTGCTATTAATCAATACTCTGACCTAAATGTACAACACATGTATTGACTTTTGTGTCTAATTTGCAGGTGGCTCACATATTGGGCTTATAACTTAACACAAAAAATTTAAGGAAATATACCAATTTCTCTTGTATTTTAATTAGAGTGAAAATGTAAGATTGAGATTTTCTGGTTTTTAAGTGTGCCACAGCACTGGTGAGTTTGGGAATAGCTGTTCCATTTTAAATTTGGGGATTATTAAACTTTAGGAGCCTTCCTCTAGTGGCCATGTGAGGAACTGTAGTTTTATGACACACTTCCTACATGTTTGTAGTGCTTATGGGAAGCTAGCGTTCATCTGTTTGCTTTTTTATCTAACTCACGGCAAAGTGACAGCAGCCTCAAGAATTGCCATTTAAATAGTTATCCAATCATTAAAATAGTTGTAAGAAGTTGCATGAATAATAAAACTAAAAATCATCTTGTAATGACATCACAGCAAGTGTGACACTACTGCATTCTTGGACCACCTCCATTTCTAAAATGAAAGACAAAGATACAACTTATTGAGAATTTACAAATACATTATAAATTAAGAAAATTGCTGGACATGCGTGTATAGCCTATTCAGCATCAGTGCTATGGACAGGCTATAAATGTATGCATATATGGTTTAAAATAGCAAAGTCAAATTTATATCTTGTGAATCGGAATCAATTAGCATATGCTCTGCTACCAACCCTGAGCTTACATTTTCAAATTTGACTTTATTCTAAAGTTCTGTGATCCATCTTCTTCTGCGTAACCAACTCAGGGTTGTGGGTTGGCTGGAACAAGCTGTCAAAGGAGTGAGAGGTGATGGTACATCCTGGACAGGTCACATATATATATATAAACTCCACACAGAAAGACCCAGATTGGATTTAAACTCATAACCTTCACCCAAGTGATAGTGCTAACCATCACACCACTGTGACTCTGTGAACTTCCATGTTACACCAAGGAAAAGAAATTCCACTGAAACACAAAGAGGTATTCAAACACTACTTCAAATCATCATTTTGGTATTTCTTACTATAGAAGATATCGCCAGGACCACATTTTGGCAGGATGACACACACACACACACACACACACACACACACACACACACACACACACACACACACACACACAGGCGGATTGTAAGTGCAAAAACAGCACCAGGCACAGTGTCGCATGTGGTAATAATCAGCTAAACCTTGCAGTTGCATCACTTTAACACTGCCTTGCTAAAACATATAGCAGGAGTTGTGATGTTTGCACAACCTTTTCCAACCTTTATCACTGGATTACCATGCTCAACATTTCTGGCACGAGGTAATGGAGTGGCTATGATGTAATGTAACCACATAATGTGATAATGATGGTGTGGAAATAAACAGGACGATAAACAAAATATCGCGTAAAGGCTGTCAGGATTTTCTGCACGGGTCTACGCACAGTTTTAGATGCAGCAGCAAGAGATGGAAAAGCAGCACATGTAAAGGTCACGGAGATGAGTTGGTAATCGATCAACTGTGAGATGTGTTTGTTTTTTTTTCATTCAGTATGTGTCAGTGTCCTTTTTAATGGCATAAATATGGGGAAATGTCAACAATAATAAATATTTTTAAACCAGTGACAGTGTAAAAAATAAAAAAAGCAACCTAAAAATGAAGTTGATCTCACATTATTCACAACATTCACCTACAGTTCTACTGGTATGACAAACCCAGAAGACTTGAAACAGACTCTTTCTCACTTCCTTTGGAAAAACGAGGAGCCAAAGCACAATGAAAACAATAAATGATCACTGTGTTTCAGCCACCAGCCCCCTCATTTTCAGAAACCTTTGGCAGGTGTCCAAAGCGAGATGATCATGAGTAGTAGACGTTCCCTCACTCTTGACCGGCACACTCCCACACGAAAATGCTTCCCACACTGCTTCCTACGTTCAGCCTGTCGGGAAAAGCAAAACACAGAGCGTGAAGATGACAGTTTTAGTGTCACATGGTTCAATTATACAAACTGTGGCATAGCCTTTAAGTTCCAACTGAGCAACGATGTGGCAAAACCGAGACATGTATGTAAATATTGAAACGAGCAGTGTAGTGAGAAATGGAAATCTAAGGTACAGCAGAGTGGTTTGCTAGTTTCAAATTGTTCACAGACCCTACACAGCTGAAGCACAACGTGTGTCTGTGATACTTGGGGAGTATCAATGATATTCAGTGACTCCATCATCACCGATGCTTTTCCCAGAAGGCTCCCACCCTCTTTAGCCTGCTGCCGTCTGCCTGCTTTCACCAATGGGGATGCTGATCAGCTTATAAACAAGTGTGCTGGTATTTGTTCATACATAGCTGACAATTTCTGTGACTTTCTTTTTCACTTGTTGATAGGTGCTTTAAGGTACTCAGGACTGATTTGATCTCCAGTCATTTTGAAGGAGGGTGTAGCTACTGTATGCTGCAGGATGTCATCAAGACACTGAACTAAAAGCAGTTATTAAAACAGTAAAATTTTGCATTTCCCCCTCTCCCTCCTCACAATGCTTTAAACACTCTAAAGCATTTTCACACAATATCCATAAAATTTTGGTAGAATGAAATCTGTTTACCTTGGTTCAACATCGGACACACAGAAGAAGTAGTCCGCTTCAGAACTGATTCAGTGCTGGAAATGTTTAAATTAGCCAAGGACAGAGAGTGCAGGACACATATCACCAACTGGCTCAACATAGCCGCAATTTGACCTCATACAGACTTCTACGGAGCCAACAAGTTAGCAAACACTGTGAGACATTTGCTTTTTCACTGCTCTGCAGTGGGCTGCAGTGCATTTATGAAAAATTAGAGTTCCTTTTAGGGATATGTTACAATTATAAAACATGCCATTTGTGTATTATATGAAGAGAAGATATATTAAAAAGCTCATGTTTCATACCATTCTGATGAATCAGTCTGAGCAATAGCAAAAGTGAAGGAGGAAACAGGAAGAAGGAGAAGGGGATTTTTGACCTTAAATTACATTTCGTGCCAAAATCAGCAAACCACCATGATACTACAATCAGGATTCAGTCGTCTGAACCGTCTGCATTGGTCAAAAGCAAAGCAGGCAAAGAAAACAAATCTACTTCTTAAATTCAATGTTGTTTTTCACTGAAGATTATAGAGCTTTAGGTATTTTAGTGAGATAAGAGAGTCTTGCAGTGTTTCTTTTGAAACAAATAAGATGGAAATTAAGATAAGAACAGATGCTACTTCCATTGACAAATCTGCCAGAGAGAAAACATGTTTATACAGTTTATTTTAGCATTTTAAATAAATTACATCAGTCTGTACTTTGTGATTCACATTAGTTTTAACAAGAGCCATTTGTAAAGCAGATATGTGTGTGGTTCTGTTGAGTTCTTTCCTGCTCTGTGCGTGTGTGTGTGCACCACTGTTTACATACAGTAGACGTGCAGAGACATGAGTCAGGTAACCAGCAGAGGGTGGAGACAGCTTGGTCCGGTGCCAGGAATGTATGAATGGAGAAGTCTGCAGAGTATTGTTCTGCCTTCTGAAACAGCTGCTATTTATAGGATTTGGAAAAGGGTGGACTGCGGGAAAAAAGCCCAGCCCATTTGGGAGACAGTGGGGAAAACTGAAGGAGTCTGAGGAATGACTGGGAGTACAAACAGTCGTGTACTTTAACTTTTCCTGTTTAAATTTCAAAGGAAAGCATGCTGGCCAAAGAAAAGCTACATGTGTTTTTTTTAGTCATTTAAAGTACTCCTTATCAAAATCTATCTTTTTCTGTCATCATTATCTTTATGTCATGTAGAAAGCTTACTTTAACTCCCGGATATTTAATTACGGCACACTTCTAGATCTCTATGTTACTATAGCAGAAGCTACAGTAGCCTCTACTATAGTGATTCGCAATTAAAATTACAATTAGACAAGCAGTAACACTTTAGATGTTGAAACTTTAAACATCAATTGAACAACCAGTGAAAAAACAGTGTTTTTTTTAGTTCTCAGAACCTTTTTGATCAGCTCATATCGGCCCTTGGTGCAGCTTTCTGACACAAGCTCTTTTAGCTGATGCCTCTTTAATGGCACCCCCCCTTTAATATATCTTTCCTGTGATTGGCTGTTATTCACGGACAGAACTTCGAGGCTTTTCTGTTCACAGAGACTAACATGACCATATTAGGGAGATCCCCTCTTACTGACATCATACAGAGCCATGAAGAGAAAAAAGAATTTGAATATTAAATGTTTTGAGATTTTTGGCTCTGAATGAATATTTTTGCATTGGCCCCATGGCTTTAAACTTAAAACTTTAATATGAGCATCCACATTACATATCGTTAGCTTCATAGCAT